TATGTATTTAAAAAAATAAATAAATAAGTAAAAAATTGGACCCAAGGCTGACCCCTGAAGCACACCATACTCAACTGAAGCAAAGTTGAACACATGCCACTATCAGCAGCCATTAAAAGGTAGCTGGTAACTTTGAGCAAGGCGGCTTCAGTGCTGTGATACTTCTAATGAGCAGATATATAATTTTCAAAAATGTTTTGTTACTGTTGCCAGTATTCTCTGCCAGCCTCGCCTAATTTACCGTTCTGCTCTTGTACACCAACATGATGTCCAGTTTGCCATCTACCGTCTTCCTGAATCCATGTGAATGCAGAATTTGTGTGCATTTCTACAGTAATCTTACCTCTCCATCTTCTCCATCTCCATCCTCATCCTCATCTTCACCTTCCTCTTCCTCCCCCTCATCGATATCTTCAAGACCCTCCTCTTCATCGTCGTCATCATCCCCATCGCCTTCCTCATCCTCCATGTCGGGGACCTTGGGAACATTCAGACATTAACCACCTGATCCTGGCCAAGGTGCCTAAATACAACTATTAGTAATGGTATGAGTTACTGTATTGAGGTGGGACTGAATTTAGTCATAAAAGAAAGTAGTGCTGACACTGCACTCTCATGGCATATTAGCACTATTAACCAGTACTACAACTAGGTATGTGCATGCTTAGTCGACTAGTCATTGAAAAAGGTTCCTAGTTGGTTAGAGAAATATTAGGTGGTTAAATTATTATGAATAATTTAGAAAGGTAGGCATTGTACAATGCTGGTTAACTGTTGCATGTAAGATGTTACACAGACACAAAATAAAAATAGAGTTAGTCAGAAATAAATTGGCATATAAGCACTCCGGCCGGAGCGATGAGTAACCACATTCAGCACAATTGACCTGGAGATTAACCTGCAAGGTGAGCAGGCTGCTGGTGCTAGTGTTGCTAATGTTAGCCACCCTCAACAAAACAAGATGACATCATCCCAACCCACAGACACTGTGATGCCAATTGGGCTTATGATGATAATAATAATAATAATAATAATAATAATAATCTTTTGATTAATAACGTTTTCAAATGGCGGACCATGTTTAACCGTGTCAAATTGTGCTCAATTTAAACTATTGTCCCCAGTGTTTTCTCACTTTTAGACTAGACTGAATTTAAATTTCCGTTTAATTAACAAGGAAATTTGCCAGGAATATCCCTAGGCCTGATACCATAGTTATCATGATTCATTTTTCATCTTACTGATATAAATCTACATATATATTTGTATTGCAATTGAACTGTTTCACGATTTATTGTATATCCCTAGAAGGTAACACCTATGTATGTATGATATATAACTGTGTAAGCCTGGTAATGTAAACCCTGTCACTGTGCTAACTTACCAGTTATAAAATCTTGTCACTTTGCAATGTTTTAGTTTCTAATAAGCCTTCAAATTCATTGATATGGACTTAATGATTGTATTTTAACACATCAACAGTACCTCAAGCAATAAGCCCCCACCAACAAAGCACCTTGTGTTGTTTTAGCACAGGGCTGTTTTCTGTCTGCCCACTTTCTAAGAGGAGAAGAAACCACAGTGAAGGGTGATGAGCCTACCAAGTAGTACTGCAGCGGGTTGGGCCAGATGTCGTCCTTGATCACTTCACCCAGTTCGTCGGCTCCTGCGTCCGAGTGGTCGCTAAACCAGGTAAAGAAGCTCTCTGGCTCCTCATGCTGCCTTTTCTTCCCAGCTTTGTTTGGCGTCTGGCCCGTACGCTTCGTCAGGTCCTATAGAGGAAAATGTGTTTGAAGGTTAGAAACTGTTTATTGATGAGAATAGACTTTTTTTTAAATGAAGGCAATTTAAGACCCATTTCATCTTCATACTGGCAAAAGAAGTGCAAAAAACATGAAGGGAAATTAGTATTCGCTTCGTTTTGTAGGGCCTGAAGTTCAGATTTTTAAGACCCGTTAACGCCCTGTGTTACACATGCAAAAACCTGAAAAACATCTACAAATCCAAACACTGGGAGGACTGGCGAAAGTAAGAAGTGCAATGGAAGACGTAGCATTAAAGTCAAATAAAATGTAGCTGACTTTTCATTCAATTCAATGTTTTCCTACTTCTTGGGTTAACAAGACTGTGTAGTTGTATTTTTAAAAAATGGAATACATTTTCATAAAATCCCACACAAACAAGCAAACAAAAACCAAAAAAATACAAACAAACCTTTCCAGCTTTCCATTTGATTTCAGTTGATTTGGAAACAGGATCTCCACTCTCGTTGACGTTGAACTCTTTGGAGAGGGCTTTGTTCTCAAAGTACGGATTCTCATCAAAGTACTAAAGAAGAGGAAACACACCTGTGTCACATCTGAGTGTATGGTATGATGTTTACAATGTACAAGTACAAAAGCGAACCTGACAACTTACAAAATCTATTCTATATCCGGACTTGATATCCTCGAACTCGGTGACCTCCACCCTCGACAAGTAATGAAGTGCTTCCTCGTCCTCCTCTCCCAGAAGAGCTGAAACTACAGGACACAGGCAGAGCGCACACACTGTTAGTCGCTCATCAGGCCATTAGAAACACACTAACAGAACATTTAAAAGCATGAACCAGTTGTAAAGAAATGGATGTCAGGGTCTCCACAAATACAGACCAATAAAATAAAGACTACAAAATATTTATTTATCTAATAATAAGTTTACCTTGTGGATGGTTGACGAATGTTGTGACCCAGAAGTTGGGAATTTTGGCTATGAGTTCTGATCGCTTCTGGAAGAATGGCTGGCGTAATTTGTTGTACTTCTGCTCTACTTTTAAAATTTCTTCGCTGGCCTGTTCATTCAGTCTGCAAAGAAAGAAGAGAAAAAACACTTAATAAGAAAACTCTCAGTGCACCCATCTGTCACTGCTCACAGCTGAGATCAGACTCACCTGTCAATTTCATTCTGTACTTCATCAATGTGTTCGATTGCTTCCTGTTGCTCTTTTTCTGAAAAAGAAATGGAAACAGTTTAATATTAAATTTTTTAATAAAAATAGGTACATACCACTGCTAACAACAACAAAACGTTTTGTTATCAACACCACAACACAGTCTGAGACTGAAGTAGGTCAGGTGATTTTCAGCGGCTCCAACCACGACACTGGCAGGGATGGGAGAGGAGCGAGTTTGTAGCGAGCCGATTTCTAAGTAACATTGTACATCATCCGTAGTATTTGTTCTAGTGTTTTGTTACACTGTGTTGCAGGTTGCTCTTCCATATTTAGAATCATTACTAACCCTAACCCTGCTCACTACATCTCAGTCTCTCTTAACCCTCAAGTGCCCATAAACTACAGGTTAAGAACTTCTTTTTAAAATACAAAAATGTGCAACTATCCATTATAGACCATGAGAAGAATGGATTATCCGTATTGGCTGGAAAAACAACCCATACCATGCATCTATACACAAGAGCACTACAAAATTCATTTTTACAGTTAAATATCCAACTCAATAAATATCTAGGCCACAAATCTTTACAAGATAAATGTAGGGCTGAAAAATGCTATTTAAAAATATTAAAAACAATTGTCAATTGCATAATGATATGATTGATGTGACCTGACAAATACTGATAGTTGACATGCCTCAAAAGTCCAGTATCAGTTGGGCTACACTGTGACAGTTTAACACCATAAAATGTCACACAAACATCACTATTTGAAAAGACAATAGTTTGTTCATATAGACTGGAACTATTTGCTATAATAATAATAATAATAATAATAATAATAATAATAATAAAAAACTTTATTGTCCCCATGCTGTGAGTAGTGCCTCGCACAGGAAACGGGGGGGGCTCAATGCTGCCTGTATTCCACGTGTTTTATTCTTGTTGTTATGTGTATCTATGTAGCCTCTATACGCTAGCAGAACTCTGCGCGGTCCACACATTTCCTGTGA